ATATTAAAATAATAATTACAATAATTATTGTAAAGTAAATAATTTTTTTAAATGTATTACATTATCGCGCATATATTTATTATTGTATTATTATCAAAGAATGGTCTAAAACATCTAAAACACACATCTACATAAAGATAATTTATTCATGACTAATTCAAGAAGTGAAGTATTCAACAAGTGACGTAAAATTAGGTTACATTCAGGATAGAGAATCAGGTTAGCCACTTACCTTTTTAGAATTTGAGGGTTGCCCCATCCCTTCGTGAAGAACTTCGTGAGCAATATGCTCCTGTAAACGGCGTCTAGACGGCTCGGAGGCATCGCGGTAAACAAGTCAGGGTAAGTTATTGGCCACTACGTCGTCGTCATCCGATATTTTTGTGCATTGTATACAGGGAATCGAACGATCGCGCATACGTCGGTTTATTCACATATCTTTTTTTTTTTTCAGATTTTGACTGTTTCACGGCCGTGAAAGCCTTTATGCAACGGTGGTTAATAATGTGCTTGAGTGATGTGTAAACGCGGGTATTCCACGGGTATTCCAATCGCGATGTACGATTATGGATTTTGCGCGCAAAGACCAATCAAAAGGCAAATGGAGCATCAGGCGATAAGCGCCAACGACACTCTGATTCCAAGGCCACGCATCTTTGCGCGTAAGTACGAATTACTCGGTTCTTGCGCACAGAGAGAACGCGACAAGGCGTTTAAAATATAAATATAAAAAATAATATTAAATAATAATTATTGTAAAGTAAGCAATCTCCTAAAATGTATATTTCCCAGATTTTGACTGTTTCACGGCCGTGAAAGCCTTTATGCAACGGTGGTTAATAATGTGCTTGAGTGATGTGTAAACGCGGGTATTCCACGGGTATTCCAATCGCGATGTACGATTATGGATTTTGCGCGCAAAGACCAATCAAAAGGCAAATGGAGCATCAGGCGATAAGCGCCAACGACACTCTGATTCCAAGGCCACGCATCTTTGCGCGTAAGTACGAATTACTCGGTTCTTGCGCACAGAGAGAACGCGACAAGGCGTTTAAAATATAAATATAAAAAATAATATTAAATAATAATTATTGTAAAGTAAGCAATCTCCTAAAATGTATATTTCCGGTAATAATAAGTATTAAATGTACTGTTTTTCTCCGGAAATAAATAAATGCGTTCACTTTGTCGCGTTTAGTGTGCAAGAGATTATTTCTTTTTATTTCTACTATTTTTTATATCCCGAGGTGATGGATATACATGTATTTTGATGTGTCGTGAACGTTACGAGCGATCGTAAGCCTGCGGCCTGCGAGTCTGCGGGCGATTAAATCGATCGTTTTCTTAATTAATGCACAGAATCAATTTTTTCGTTGCGACGTAGAACTGTAAAGACAGCGAGAGAACGATTCTAGATATCTAAATATTGTTGTAAAATATTCTTTTCTTCAACATTTTCTAATTGACCTTTTATTTAATTTCATGCATCAATATTGTCATCAATATACTCATCTGCCAAACAGTGATGCCAGAATGCCCACGCTAGCAACACGCAACCGTAATGGAGGGGATACGCACACAAGCAAAAACCGTGTACATGTAATGCGCAGAGCGTTTTGCGCATTACATGTACACGGTTTTCGCTTGTGTGCGTATCCCTTCCACTACGGTTGCGTGTTGCTAGCGTGGGCATTCTGGCATCACTGCTGCCAAATAACCTAGTCTAGACTAAATTGCCATGCGACAGTTAAATTTACTCTTATCCCTACATGCTATCTTAACATAAACAATGATATATAATACTATATGTAATATATTTATTTTAATATATGTATTGCTAATCACATTGCATTTATGAAAACTATAATAATCGTATATTTTTGCAAGAGAAAGAATGTGTCTGCCTTCTATTCTTCTTACTTGAGAATCACAAGAAAATCCGACACCTTTTGGGCAGATTTATTCTTCAGTTTTTCTAATTTTTCGGGACTAATTTTAGTTGATTTATCGAGAATCTTAAGAGTTTTCTTGTTCATATATTCTCGTATAAATCGTAGTCTCATAGCATAACGAAATACAAAGCTAAAATTATACATATAGGAAATAATCATTATACTATAAGAATATTATTATTATAGATGCAAGAGAGAGTTTAATGAAGATGTATGCTAAATAAATTTCGAGTGATTATTATATTCTGATTATCTGGTCGACACAAAGTCAGCTTTCGCGTTTCCGATAGATATCAGGAAATACATTATACACTTTATACTCACCAATATAACATCCATTGTAACCGTTGAAAAAAAGTTAGCGTGCTTCGCATACGCGGCATATCGATGTCCAGTAAATCGGCGACGAACAGTAATGACATTTTGAACATGTTACCATCATCGTCCAAACTCGTGATGCATCTCAGCATATGCTCCCATTCGGGCGTTATTTGTCGCAAATACGGTTTCACCCAAATTTTGATAAAGTCTCGCGCTCTTTGCTTAATCTCTTCCAGACTACCACGACAAAAATTGAACCTAAAGCACAATAAAATTAAATTTTGAAAAATGTAAAAATATATTCTAAATTTATTTTAAAACATGTAAAAAGCGAAAATTAGAGAAATTTTAAAGATTTTCCACTAATAAACGATCTCGTTATTTTATGATACTGCAAATTTGATGCGTGACAATGAACGCCGAAATACCGAAAAGTTTAGTCATCACTGTATTTATTGTACTTACTCGTCCTGGATACCGAGAGCGTATCCTATACTTCTCCATACATGGCAAAAGGCTATCATATCCTCATCAGTGGCGTGAATGCCAAATTTGTACGAGTAGAGCAAGAGCATTCCCATAAAAGCAAACTGCGTGGCGCTCATATCAGCTTGATTCAATCCTTTGGGTCTGATTATCAGATGAAGACAGCCGTTTTCTACTGTCGGATACGGGCAGGAAGAAAAGTCGTCGAGGATTATTTTTCTATCCGGGCACCATGGATTCGGGATTGTAGTGGCCGCATCGATCTCTTCGTAATCATATTCGCAGAGCTTTAATCGTATCGCGCGATGCATCTTACGCACGACTTGAATATCCTTGTGGGCCTGCGTGTCCTCATCCCAAAAATCTTCCATCATCCAATTTCTCACACGGCGAGCCGTGGATAAGTATCTTCAACGATATTCGGAAATTTATTAGTAAAAGCTCAACTTGTTGACAACAATTGAGCAAATATTAAACGAAACATTTAAATCCGATTTAGCTATTGCTTTGTATATCACCGAAATTGAAACAATCTTGTTGATGTATACATATAGAAAACATATCGCGAAAAAGAGAGAAAGAAAGAGAGAGGGAGAGGGGGAGGGAGAAGGAGAGGGAGATCATTATTATTCAAATTGTAAGAAATCTAGCGTATATTAACGAGAGTGACATTGTATTTATGGAGATCAATTGACATTGATAGTTTAGTCCAAAGTCCAGTCTTAACATAATCAATAAAAATCGATATAGGCTTAGCATCATTTGTTAATGGACATCTTGAAAATGATATCTAGAATGCAAATAATTTGTTACATAGCGAAAAACATATATCTAAGTTTAATAATAGATTAGACATCAAAATCGTAACAATTAAATTTTTAGAATAATATGAGTAAACAATTGGTTTAACATGATTAATTTATAAAAGTTAATAAAATCAAAGCAAATAAGCTTTTTTATATCTATTATTTGCGCGGAATATGTGTACGCAATGCGTCGCTAAAATTATATCAGATCCTGATTAGAGCCTTGAGAAATATAAAAAATTATTTATGTGAAATTTAAGCGTAACTGTTATACCAGAATCAAAATGCATTGCAATGATCGCAGGCATTTGAACTTTGTCACAAAATAGCAACCCATTTGCATTGCAGATATTATTTTCAATATGTAGATATCGAGATGTAGTGATCTTTAAAAATACATTATTCATCAAAATATGCTAGATTTTTTATAATTTGTATTATAATGTTTTTACCAATCATTTGATTCATCAATAATACTCGTAAAGTTCTTATGGAGAGATTTTATATACCTCCTAAAAGCTAAATATGACGTATGAGATTGTTGACTAAGAATCATTGGTTTAAGACCATCCGTAAAAGCGAATATCTCGAAGAGCGACAGCATGTTGGAAAAGATAATAGAGAAAATATGTTCTTGTGCAAATTTTTGTCCTCTCCGGAATTCGTTCATGTCCAACCAAAACGGTTTGTTTGTTGAACTTTGGCCGCAATCCCCGCGATACAGCGCTGCTGATACGAAGAATAATAAAGAATCTGGTAGATTTGGTACATAGATTTTCATATTTTCCGTTATATGTTTATATTGTTCTTCATTCGTCCATTCATCATAATTTTTCGGTTTTGCAGAATTTTGATCGACGATATGTTTCATATTTTTTACGAATTGTTCAATGTATTTAACAGCGTTTTTCGTCTCTGCAATTTCATAATGTTTACTTTTAGCTTCTTCATCCATATAGTCATCGATATTATTATTTCTCTGATTTGTTGGGTTTGCTATAATTTCATTCGTAATATTTTGAATATCTTCTAATTTTACATGATCCGTTTTGTTATTGTTCACATTTTCTATTTGTGCCTGTTCTATCCACTGAATACGGCTCACTTCCATCTTTTATCCTTCTTTAATGACTTGATGATTGATGGTAATTGCCCCGGTCAAGCCAATCTGTTCTAATATAATATAATATAATATAAATAATATAAGATAATCTCTTTATAGTATACGAAGTAATTAAAATTTAAAAAAATTGCATTGTACTATTAAATTCTGTCTACAGAAAATATATGTATATGCGTGTGTGCACTCTTTCTTTTGTTCTATATCTTTTCAATCCAGAAATTAAGATATATATTACGTAATAACAGTTGTAATCAAAATCTTATTGAAAAATGTTATTGTTTTTCGTAAAGAAGTTATTTATTTTATTTTATTTTTTTTATTTTAAAGTTATTTTTTGTATAAAGAACCAACGCGTCTCTTATTTTCAAAATCTTATGAAAAAAATGATTTTTTTAACTTTTGTTTCAAGAATGGATTGCGTTTTTTATTTTCAAAATAACATTTTTTGATAAGATTTCGATTACAATTGTTATGACAGAAAAAAAGAAGGAGAAGGTTGAGTTGGGAAGTTTGGAGAAATAAATCTTCAAGTGACGGGGAGGAACGTAAAATGACAAACTATGTTATATATATTTTTTTGTTCACGTTTTTGGATTTTTGATATATGCAAATAATAACACATGATAATTCATTAGTTGCGCAATTCATTGCAATATACTTATACCTATGGAATTAATCATTATATATCAGGTGATTGCATAAGTTCGTGCCCGATTTAAATATAAACTTCAATAGATTATATTTTAGAGATAACACTTTTATTAATCAATTATATAGTCTCCATTCTTTTCTACAATGGTTTTCCAACGATCTATAAGCTTGTCGATTCCATTTTATATATTAAAATAATTAAAAGCATTATTAAAATATTTTAAGAAAAATATAACAAGAGAGAGAAAAATATAGGAAGATAGAGTTTTTGTCCCATCATTTACAAGATATTAATTATTAAAATATTAAGATCCTTTAGTAGATCCGTTTAAATCCGATAACAGTTTCTTTGATTCTTCTTAAAGTTCTGCTTTCTTTTTCGAGTTATAATTTGACGCTTTATTTACAATATAGATTATTAATTTATTAAAAAGTACTCTTATGATGAATAATTTCAGAGCGTGTTGAAGTATAAATCTGTAATCATTAAAGTGCTATACAAATATGTAATGCATAAAATACATATTTATAATTTGCAAAAGCCGAATATAATGAGTATTATAAATTGTTATTTTATTGAATATGTATATATATATATATAATAAGAAAAAGTATGTTTACGAGATATTTAAGTGTATCCAGACTTTTGACACACCCTGTATATGTGATACACACACGCACACACATACTTGCAATTTTTTAATTGTCATAGGTAAGACAGTAAGTGTTGAAAAAGAAGTAGAGATAAATAAAAAGAGAAAGAGAGAGAATGGGAAGGGAAACAGTCGTATAAAAATAAAAAATTTATTTATCTGAAATATGAATAATTGAGAGATGTATATAAACGCGATATGTTTAGATCTAAAATTTAATAAGTCAAAAGCAATAAATATCTTCATTTTATAAGGCATATACATGAAAGGATAAAAAAGTTCGGTGACACATCTTGTCATGCGTTCCCATTCGGACGCAATATTCTTACATCGCAAAATCTTACAATTTATATAGCGTACGCTTTCATTTATAAAAAAGTAAAACTGCAAAATTCTTCGAATTTAAAAAAATTGCATTGTACTATTAAATTCTGTCTACAGAAAATATATGTATATGCGTGTGTGCACTCTTTCTTTTGTTCTATATCTTTTCAATCCAGAAATTAAGATATATATTACGTAATAACAGTTGTAATCAAAATCTTATTGAAAAATGTTATTGTTTTTCGTAAAGAAGTTATTTATTTTATTTTATTTTTTTTATTTTAAAGTTATTTTTTGTATAAAGAACCAACGCGTCTCTTATTTTCAAAATCTTATGAAAAAAATGATTTTTTTAACCATGTTATAAATTAAATTATTTCAATTAAATCACATTATCAATTTTTTAAACTTGTAAATTATTTATAAAATAGCGATGTTGATTAGATAACAGAAAATTGTTTAATAGATTCCATTCCTATATAAAACCAAAAATTTGATAATAATTTTTTAATATCCAGGATACTTTACATTTTAATAGATAAACTTTGAGAATATATAAAAACATCCAAGAGAAACAAGACAAAAATTGCGTAAATTCACAATCTTTTTTCTTATCTCTCTTGGATGTCTTTATATATTCTAAAGTAAATAAAAATTAGCCAAAATTACAAAAAGTGTTCTATATGGCTTCCTCCCATTCTAACGTATTTCCATGCAGGACGAATTAACGATTGTTGCACCTGCCATAATATCCCAGTATCATTTCTTATTTGTTTACAATGATAATAAAGATTTATTTACTATCGATTAAATGTATTTTTCTCGAAAACAGTTAGTTTTGGCGAAATGAAATAAGAGTATCTTTTTTTAGAAAATGATGTGGAAGATCTAAAAATATATTTAAAAATAAGAAAATTTACTAGCTTCAAAGTTAGAAAGTTTGTAAGTGGCCTGCCCCTGGTTCTCCAATGTAGTATTGAAAAATCTATCACGCTATTTTAAAGACCTTTATACTTAATATAAAAATAATTATTACACATTATTAAAATCTACAGAGTGATATAAAAGTTATTTAAGAAAAATGCTTCTCAAATTTTAACTTTAAAGACAAATATCTCGGTAGATATGCGTTGTAGAAAAAAATTTTATAACAGCTTATGGGGTTATTTTTACATGCTCTCGAGAGATTGCCCACATTTGTCCTAGAATATCCTGTATATATCTATTAAAAAATATAAAATATAAATCATTTTTAATAAAAAAATAATCTTACCAGGACGACAACAATGGTAACGATAAATACAATAATGATTGCCTTCATATTCGATTTCTGTTTCTTTAACGCGATGAAGACTAATTTGCGATCAAGTGGATACTGGGATATTCTAAAGATGTCCTGAGTTTTTATAGGTTGAGATATAATGACGCAACAAATATATATACATATATTCTATTCAATGTCTTTTTTCGTGCGCATCATAAAGTGGGGAAATACTCGGGAGTTACATATCCGTTATACCCCTCCAATACACATGTTATTATATAATAGTTGCTAATTTGAATAATAAATTGCAATAACGACAGAAAATGTATACACGTTTCTAAAATACACGAACGCTTTTAAATCTTCAAATTTTGTTATTAATATTCAATGACAAATGCTAATTCGGAGTTTGTTACTAATAATAAGTAACACTTGCATAAGCTATTAAAAAAATTTTTTCATTCTACAGAATTATTTGAAAAAGTCCGTTAATTGATTAAAATAGTTTTTAATGAAGAAATCCAAAGAGGAGAAATTAATTATATATTGTTAAAACTCAAAAAATTAATTATATTATTAAAATTTTTGACACTTTTAAAAGAAATTCATGTTATATAAATTAAGATTAATGAAATATTTGAGATTAATAAATATTGAATCTATTATTGCAATTGAATTGTATTTCTTGCGCATTAACATAAGACGAGAAATAACATAAGCAACGAGAAGAATTACATAAATTTTAGTTAGAAGAAACATAGATGAGCAGGTCATTAAAAAGTTACTAACGTGAAAGATGTATAATGTGACCCTGATTATTTAGTTATATACATGGGCGTCCGCAAGGGGGGCAAGGAGGGGCACATGCCCCCCCCCCCCTGGAAAATGAAAAAAAAATCA